AACAGGAAATGTGATTCGGAGCAGATCTATGTTCTGATTGACTGGAAACGCTTTGAATTTCTACTAATCTAATTAATTGCTACTGCACTAATGAAAATCTTGAAGATCTCAATGACTAATATGAAAGAAACCTTCTTGTCACAGCGCAGAAACGAAAGGACCGAGCATCACGCCGGTTATACCCGCGCGCGTATCGCGAAGCAGGACGGTAATGACTTTCGACTCGCGGTGACTATTCGTTAATCGCATCACGGCAGCTCTCTGCCAGGATGGTCGGTGGTGACAGGGCCGTACCTAGAAAGTAAGCGTGATAATATTCGAGACGTTAAGCGTGGAATCGGCGGCTGCCTCGTTCCACGGATTAGCATCCGTGTTAACCACAACAAAATTAAAGAGACAGAAAACAGAGACTGTGAAACAGAGAGAGAAAGAAAGAGAGAGAGAGAGGTAGAGGAGAAAGAGAGGCAGGAAAAAGAGAAACAGACAGACAGACAAATAGATAGGCAGACAGAAAACACAACGGTGTACATATCCCCGACACAGAACAAGTGAAGTGTGTGTGTGTGTACGTGTGTACGTGGTTTCACCGCGAGTGTGTGTCGGGAGTGTGTTCGACGAGACGATCGCGAGAAACGAAAAACAGAGGCGGACAGACAGACAAGTAGACAGACAGACAGACAGACAGATAGACGGACAGACAGATAGATGGACGGACAGACAGACAGAGAGGAGAAATTCGCTTGATAGAAGGGGTAAGAAAACAATGGTGAATGGAGGAGCACTGGGTGAAACGTATGTGTCCGGTGTATCGAATCACCGTCCGCGCTCGTTCAATGAAATCATGAACGGGAACGGCTCGCAGACGGAATACAGGATGACTCTGCGTGTCCTCGCGGCTGTATCGATCAAGGAAACTGCGAGGCTTCTCTCTGATCCTCTAGAATTCTTTTCGCGACGCGCTAATAACGACTTCGATGACTAGACTGCGGATGTTCCTACGAACGACGGTTTTTATGAACTTATGGAAGTCGATGCGGGATAAAAAGCTGTTTACACGATTAAACGGCTGACATTAACGCTTTGCGGATCGAGCTGACTACAGGCGACATCTCGTTGACTCGTTGATGTAGGAAAACGAGTTGGATGGTTCGTAACACTAGAACTATCGTAACAAAATGACTGATTTCGTATGTTTCATTTCGCAATTATTGACACTAGGTTTACGGGCATTTATTGTACTTCATTCTATTATTCCTAAAGGAATTGATGCTCGTTTATTTAGATTGTGGAAACTGGAGATTCGATAGTAGGTAAGTGGGGTACGTGTCGGTGTGATATCAATCAAAATCGGCGTAAACATTTACAGAATAATATTTCTAAAATCCAATATGCTTCAATTTGACGCGTTCCGTAAACCTAGTGTTGAAAGCACAGAATATTCGAAATGATTTTGAAAATAGTGTCACTTGAGTGCTAACGAGTGTCCGAAGAAACCGAGAATAATATTGTTAGAATTTTTATAGAGGTATCAGTCGTATTGAATGTTCGGTAGTTTTAGCGTTGACTATCCTCATACTTGTTTCTCTATCGTGTCAGGTCATCTCATAATATTGCTTCTCAGGGTTCCAAACAATTGATACTTACGTTCGTCTTTAACCTCGTAAACTCTTTCTCATTCCTCGATTAAATTGCTATTGCCTACTACTTTCGCCATTTTCTATTACTTATGGGATAACCTGATATTCAGTGTAAACCTATAAACATCCGCCGTCTACCGATGCCATCGCGTTAACCTACGCACCTCTGCAACAAAAAATGGTTGAGAACAAAGGTTTCAAGGCGAACTGAAAAAGAAGGTTAAGGGCAGCGAAAGGCTCCGCGAACATCCGACGAAACTCGACCGATCTTTCAGCTGTTCCGTGCGCTCGCTGCGAGACCGCGGCCCGGCCGAGACGCGTTCCGTTGCGTCAAGTTTCACGGGGAAAACCAACACCTCGGAACGGTTTCCCGAGGCCGGGGCAAAAAGCGTCCCGGCGCGAAACACGAGAAACGACGCGCTCGACCTTCCGCTCGTGTTCGCGCGAGTCCTCGAAGTGTCGTCGCTTCTTTCTCGCGGAATTAGAGGAGCAAAGAAAAGCCGGGAGCAGAGTTTCCAAGAGAAATAGGTTTCCCCGGTTAACGTCGGGAAAGCGGCGACCGTTGAAACTTTCCCGAACGCGCGGAGGGACGCCGGTGAAACTGGGAGACCGATCGCGTCGGAGGTTTCTCGGCTGTTCCGTGATCGAGACGGAAAGGAAACGCATCGATCCCCCGACTCAGCGATTCTCAAACTAGGTACCCCGTGGAGTTCCGTGGACAGATTGCTCTGGGTCACGTGTATGCTGTGAAATCTGATGATCTGTGGAGCTTCGTGGGAATTATGTTTCAAAAGATAATCAGAAATTACGATGGAAAATGGTTTTTGCTAATATTACTATAAAAAGCGTTTCGGATGTTTTATTTCTCGTATTGTATGCAATGTGCGCAAGTTTTCCAAAAATAAAAAGTCCGTCTACTGATCTATCGATTGTTAATCAATCTTGAGTAACGAAATTCTATCAATTTTTGCAGTTCTGTAGCTTTAATTTCGATGGTTTCTCCAAATTTCTAATGCATATGACGTGCAATTATCGCAATACAAATATTCAATTAATAATATATAAATAATAGTGTAATTTATTGCTTTTATAGCTTTTGTTTTACTTTGTTTCTATCGCTATACTATGACTAAAGCTTCGTGTACTTGTTTAAGGTGGTCTCCTTATTAAAGTACGCTATTTACAAACACATGCTCCAGGGGATACAACAGCACAAAAGATTGAGAATTACTGCCCTAAGTGGTCGGACGGTCTCGGGAACTTCCATGGAACTTTCCCTCTTCTTCCAGGTGTTCCCGGGGACACTTCGCCCGAAGGTCATCCCGCCTGCCGGCGCTCGGATCCGGTTCAAATTCGGACGGGAGCAATCTCCGGTCTGGCTCCATCCGTCATAATCATTCTCTGGGAACTCCCGCGGGACCCAGCCGCGCGCTCCTGTTCCGAGCGCGGAACCATTCGATGCTCTCAATCCGCGTGCAATCCCTTCGCGGGGATTCCGGGAAGGAACGGTGAAAGAGCCGGCGAGGAGAGCGCGGTCCTATTCGCAGCGTTGGTGAAAGCTTCGGTGTGCTATCTCTTCGCGACAAAATCGTGGAGGATGGAATTTGATCGGACGAAAACTGTCTCTTTCTTGGAAATAGGAAGTTTATCTCTGAAGTTGCCGACTTTCGAGTGAGCACTTGTCGCGCGATTTGAAAGTGGAATGATAAGGAATTGAATGTTTAAAAATGTTGAACGTTAACGTTGTTGAGTAATATTCAAATGAAATTTAGGTGAAGCTTTGAATATCTTTTAGTCGGAGATATTATTGAAGAAAATGCAAGTGTCATAGAAATGTATCTTTTGATCTACAATTTTCTAACACTTGTATTTTTCACGAAACTTCGATAACCAAGGAAGGCACAACGAAAATTACTATCTATAATATGATCTTTACACTGAAAACATGAGCCAGTCGGCGAGTTATTCATTTCGAACAATGGTTAGTGCAAAGCAAATGTTACAGGTATATCGGTAGGCAGATCTTTCAACCGGCGATTTGCAACTGAAATTCCAATTACCAAGAAAGAGACACGGAAAGTGACAATCTGCACGAGGATCTCTATACAGTCTATCATTTTGTCGCGGAGCGTAGACAGGGACAGAAGAGAGTAGTAGCGATCTGGGTGAAGGATAAAGTGAAGCAGAGAGAGAGAGAGAGAGAGAGAGAGAAAGACAAGACACGTCGGGGTAGAGTGATCTCCGATCGAAAGGGGGATAGACGGAGCCGCGGAGAGCGAAAGGACACGCGACCACGTGA